CAATCTTGTCTAGGCTTGTCCATGATGTCTATCTAGTAGCTTCTAATGGGCTATAGTTGTTGGCATCACTTGCCCTTTTGGGCTCCTATTCCTTGGGGGGCTCTGTAGCACAACAGCTGTTATTTTCTGTTATGTGAATCTTTGAATAAAATTTGTCTCTTCAACCCAAAAGGCAGGATCTGAAAATGATTTTACTCACATTATTACCAAAGAGACAACTGTCTGGGCAAGAAGTGCTCCGCTGCCCAGAGCCAGTGTGTCTGTGTGCCCACTCCAGGTATGCAGGTGGCCACTTGATGTCACTGCACCCTAACAAGCCGCATTTTCTTCAGATTTCACGCTAGGAAGCAAATCTCCACTTGCACTCAGGCTAACCTCAAGCACCTCAAGATGTTCTCTGGAAATAAACAATGCCAAGTGTTACCTGGCAACACGCCAGGCAATGTTTGTGGGGGAGCGCAGGCCACTTGCTGGCCCCCTGTTCACATTCCTGCCCCCTAGCACCAGTACTCATAAGTGCGTGGCCCCAGTCTTCCCTTTGGAAGAATCTGTGAAGCAGAAAGATCAAAGATAAATTAAAATTCACGTTTAATTTAACACATCATTTGAATCTCAATTTTCATCTCCTCCCTCAGATAACATTTATGTGAGCATCTATGTAGTGAAAAAGCCTTTGATTTAGGGTGTCTGTTTTCTTTTTAATTTGTTTCTATATTTTTTATCTTCTGGGTGTTCATGTGGCATTTTAATTAATGTTTGTTACTATTTATTGCATCTTTCACAATGTCTTATCTATGCAGAAGATTATAAATGCCTCAGGGCTGGAATCAGCTCCTAGTGAGATATTGTACAAACACATTGGTAAGTACATTCAGTTAATTGAGTTTACTGCTTATCTTTGAGTAACATTGAGATCACCAAGGAAGTAAAGAATGAAAAAGAACTGAGACAAACTCTCCAGATAACAGCTTTGAGCTCATCAAATGAAAGCCAAGGTACAGGAGCCAGGAAATAACCTTTGCTCACTTGAGTTTACAAGGTGAATTTTCTCCGTGCTGAGATCTTGGCTCCAAAGGGGCTCCCCAAGTCCCAATTCTGGTTCACAGGTGGTTATGTAAGACTTACACTTCTGGTCAACACAACAGTAGACATTTTAATTATACTACTTCCTTCATCACTGGGCCTGGCACCCAGGTGCAGTTGTTTTCCCGGACCTTCTTAAATGAGGAACAGGACAAATTGTAACTGGGTGGTCCCTAGGAAAAAAAGGAAGTTCCAGGTTCCCTGCCCCACCCAAAAATAGGGTGGAGCTGAAGAGTGAAAGAGGAGAAGAAAAGAAGGCAGCAGGATGGAGAACAAGAAAGCGACCTGAGGAAGCCAATGGAGCAGCAAGCAAGTATGTGATGAAGAAACCATGCTTGTTTCCTGACCCTTAACAGTTAAGGCAGATGTGGGTGAGATACCTGTAGGGAGGTGACTATGGCAGTGTTTATATTTTGATTTTGCTCTTTTCCTCCCAGACTTTTCTGGCCACTTCTAATCCTTTTCTGTGGATCCCAGCCAGAAGGTGCTTTAGTCTAGTGACGGGCTTTCAGGCCTTGCTTTGGGCCAATCCCTTTTGGGTTGACTTTTGCCCACAAGGGGATGGGTAACTTCAGGTGTTTGATTTAGAAGTTATAGTCTTTGTGTTCTGTATTGTATATTTACTGTATTAAAGTCCCTTTCAATTAAAGTTTTATATGTCTTATCTTGATGCAGCGGATGGCAGAACCCACTTAGAGCAGGCAGGTTTGGGGCTTCAGGTGTGCCCCTCTCTCTCTGCTCTGTAACAAAATGACCAAGGAGGCAACCACATATACATTTCAAGCTTCAGTAGACACTGGTGCTGATTGTCTCCCAGCCAGCCTCTAGTCCAGCTGCTGTTGGGCCCTCACTAAGGGCCCAGAAACATGGACCTCAGCCAGCTCTTTTTCAGAGCTTAGATCTTAATTGTTGAAGGAACAGAAACAAAAGTACTCCTTGTAGTATGAAGGCTTCACTGGGACCAAGGGAGAACATGAATAAAAGTTTCACTGTCAACCAAGAGAGAATACCCACCAAGAAGATCTCAGCTGACCAAGCTGTTCCCCCAGGGTTCCTATAGTTCATTACATATATTCCCAGGCAACTTGACCTCAAGCAATAAAAACAGTAATAGGGAAAATCACTGCTGAGACCACATTACCTTAAATTCCAGTAGCAGAGGCTTCATGATGGAACCTACCAATGAATCCCTGACAAGGAGGCCCAGCTTAGATATGCATCACTAGGGGACTGAATCAAGTGTTCCCCACTGCCTTTCTGGCGACTACACTTCATATTCTTTCACTGAACAATTTCCTCTGGACTCCTTGTCTATTCTAGGTTTGTATGACTTTCAAACTGTCCCTTCAGGATTGACCACAAAGATCTACAAAGAGCTGACGCGACTCAACAAAGTATAAACAATCCAGTCGAAATATGGGCAGAAGAGCTAAAAAGACACTTCTCCAAAGAGGAAATATAAATGGAATGTAGGGGAACCAAATAAAGAGATCAGGGGAAAAAATAATCATAATAAATTAAAAAACAAAATTAACAGGCAACTATAAATCAGAGATGTTCTGCAGGGAAGGGGGCGGGAGAGGAATCAAAATAAGGGTGGGAAGAACACAAGGGACCATAGTGATGTTGCACGGGTGAATTGGTGGTGGGAATTTACATGGACTACACCTGAGAGAACAAACATTGCACAAAAAGGAAGAATGATGTAAATATATATGTACAAAAAAACTTCAAAAAATAATAATAAATGGTCCCTTCGGGAAATTACCCTCTTGGGAAAGTACCTAGTTAGTATAAGGCTATGGCTCCTTTTCATGCCATTTTTGGATCCCACCTCTGCACTGATCTTTAAGAGCTCATGGTTCAGCCTTGGACACATTAAGTCCCGAGTACACCTGATTTTTAAACAAAAGTTCAAAGATATTCGGAGTTGGTGATCAAGGTGAGTTATAATTTGGGGTGGAAGATCAAGGCATAATTATAGAGACTAGAATTTTGAACTATTTTTACCAATAGCAATCATGTGTATAGGTTCTCAAAGTAATTAACTGAGTAAGTGAAATGTAATGGTCACTTCACAATGCCATGTTTATTAGCTCACAGGCACTAAAAAATAATCCTTTCCAAAATAGATCTACCACTATCTTACCAAACTATCTAAAAACTTCAGCATAGTCTGATCTAAAGCTACTGTTAAAATAGCATAGATTCTATGCAAAGTATAGCATGAAACCTTAGCATGAATTTGTCTGATATAATGAGATTTTCAGTTTTGACGCATATAAGCAATAGGGCATAATGACTTGGGGGGGAGGTGGTAAAGAAGAAAGTCACCAAAGGGAGACCCTAGAACCACCTTTTACCCCTTGAACTGAACACAGCCTCCCAACCCTTCAGTTCCATACATCCATCTTAAAAAGATCAGACAAACAGCTGCATGGTCCAAGCATGTGGTGATTTTTATTAAGAATAACTTTGGTTCTAAGAATTCCACCCTCAGTTCTGTAATATTTTCCATTAAAAACAATTATACAAGAGCAAATACAAAAAATATTAAATTATGAAAACAAATCCATTAAGGCTCCCTTTATATATATTATATACACTCAAACAAGATTTTTCAGAGTAGAAGAATAAAGTCAACTGTTATAGCTTAGAAAGCAACACTACTACTTGGAGACTATAAACACTGAACTATTTTCAGAAAGCCAGAGTGGAAAAATGGAGCCATTTTGTAAAAAGTGGCTCAAAGCACAAACTGCTTGCATGTTCATGAGTCCCAGGGTTTTGGACTGTATGGTATTAAAGTGTTGGGGAGATGGATGCCTTTTTAAACTCAGGCTTGTAAGCCAAGCTGATCTGCCTTTGAAGAGCTTCTCTACCTGTACATTCCACTATTAGTTGTAGATTATTGTATTCTATTATAAGTATTCTTTTGGTAAGATTTTGTATGACTAAACTTCAAAAAATTTTGCAGATCTGTGAGTTGGAAGGGAGATGCTTTCGTAATTTTTTCCTGTTGGTAAATGGAAATTCTAGCCACAGAACTGGTCCTTCTAAAGGAGGCTGTTAGGGTCCTTGAGAATTCCATCAAGTGAGAGAATTGCTTCAAGGACACAGGATCTACAGATCCAACAACCAGTTAGATAAAAGGATATGAGCCAGTCCTGAATCTTCATTTTACAAATCACATTGTCAGTCCATATAAACAAAGAGCTCTTAGTCAATGTACAATCAGAAGTGTACTTTTAAGATGATCATTTAACATACTTTTCTTCTCTGAATGGGAAGAATGATGGAAGAACAGTTATCATCCCATCTCTCAACAGCAAACTATTACAGAGCAATATTTTATCATAAGCATCTTATATTTACTCAAATACTTGCTGAAAGAAATAACCCATTTCAGGTGTAATCAACATGTTTTCTAACTAGCAGTATATCATCACTGCATATACTACTTATATTTTGTTCATATTAGGATTGAATATGAACCTAATTATCAACTATGAAAACTAAAGTATTCCCATAGAAAGCTAATTTCTACTATGCTTATTAAAGATTTAAAAGCTCAGGACCCAGCTTTCTATGAACCTTTTAAGTAGAAGTAGTCTTCAGTATACAAATTACTGGCTAAATCTTCTCTGTGGAAAACATACTGAAATCCATAGACACTCTTCAAGACCACCCCAAGTAGAATATACCCCTGCCCATTTCAGCAGGATAAAGGGATTCCATGTAAGAATCTGTTAGCGTAACTCAGACGTGATTTTGAGCAGCCTCTCCCTCCCTTCACCTCAGTTTTTCCTGAGATGCAGAATAGTAGTCATCACTGTCACCATTATCAACAGCATCATCCTCACTAAGATAGTGGTGAAATAGCCTTTCTTCACGGGGGGGGGGGGGGGGGGGCAGGGAGCAAAGCAATATATGATCATAAATGAGAAATTTCAAAGCTTGGATTCTACTAATATTCAAAGGTACAAATGCTACAAATCTTCTGAATAGGCCTCCTGGAGACCAACCTACATTTGTTTCACATTAAGATACCTGAATCCCATTAAGATACTCCTGGCTAAGCGCCTAATGGGAGCTTTGCCTACGCCACTCTCAGAAGAAATCAAAAGATTTGGACCCTCTACTTTTGACATTGAAGTTAGGTTACATGGATTAGTCTGTAGTCTCGAAAAATCAGGAGATTCTTTTTTATTAAAGGATTAGTCAGCTAAAAATAAATTTAAAAACAGAACAAAAGCCCTAATGGGTATCAAAACATTCTATGGACTTATATGATGGATCTTCTCTGAAATGGAATGCATCAAGGAGCATACTAGTATCAGAGAACCAAAAGGAATTAAAATAAAATCAAGATGGGTGTTTACATACTTTTGTTTACATGTCTTAAAACCTCCTCACCTATTTCTGAATCTTAATGCTAATAAAGGTGTGCGCTGTGTGCAACAGTAACACAGTGTGGCGTTAATTCAACCATGGGTAAAGTATAAACTAAACAAGGAAATTTTGGGATCTCAAAATTGAATTTACAAATATTGGATGTAACAGATCAAATGCATTTCTATGCAATCTAATAAATAACAACAAGAAGAATGAAACACATTTTCTTTAGGGGGAAAAAAAAAAGGCTCTGTGCTCCCTCTGATCTTGGACTGTAAGAAAAACCAAGCAGTGCAACTTTCAAGAATTTATTCCAGTGTCCTCTTCCTTAGTTGCTGTTGTTTTTTCCCCCCTTTCTGTTTCCAAACACAGGTCCATTACCCAACACAATGTCTGTCATTTGGCGAATAGGAACTGAACCTGTCACAGGTGATTTGTCCACCAGATAGTGGGAAAACCAAAACCAAATCCTTGTTAAAGTTACAGTCTGCTGGCTGGGCTGCTCTCAGGTGAGATCCCTGAGAAGCACCACTGAGGAATCCACACAGCTTCTGTGCCCTATGACTCCTGGGCTTGGGCCACTTCTTGACCTGTTCTCCTGAGATTGCCCTTAACCTTCACAAACTCTGGAGCGTTTTCTTGCTCTTCTTGCAACTTCTGCTTCTCGAGTTCAAGCTAAATGAAATTCAAAAATGGGAAAATTATTTATATGCGGAGATGCTTTTCACTACACTCCTCTTTCCAAAAGAGCTAATGATTTCATTTCCCAGTGTAAAAGATTTTTTCCTGGTCGCTATGTTAAATATGTATGAGTGTTTTTATCATATGTACCTGGGTGAGTCTGCACAAGGTGTTGGATACTACTATAAGCAATACTAAGAGATAACAACCAGAACCTAAAAATCAAGGCTAAGAAAATAAGACCTTGAGGTCAACACATAGTTGTCCTGGAATCTTGGTGAAGTTGAAGATTACTCAACCACTTGAGTTTCCAACACTACAAATTCAGTGATATTCCCAGTTGGGTTTGCCTCCTGAAGCTTTTCAAAATTCAAAATATAATTCTTCTGTCTACCTTGAATGTACTTTAGCCCATCTGTTAACATTTTGTCTCATATTTTCCTTTTATGGTACAAATATTTACATCTTGCTTCTCTGGAAAATTCTGCTTGCTCCAACACCTTTATCTCTTAGGGGAAAAAAGACAACTTTTGAGGGAAATCAGAAAGAAGACAGATACTCTAAGATATCTCTTTGAGATGGAACTTAAAAATATCCAGCTCAGTAAAGCAGACAGTAAAACATCGGCTGGGAAGCAGGGAGAGGAGAGCCATGCTTTAGCCACACTTAGTAGTGGCTTAGGTCAGTGATTACAGACAACAAAACTGCATGATAAATATTAAATCTGCTAAGAGACTAATTCTTACTTGTTCCCAACAATAGAAGAAATGATAATTATGTGATGAAATAGTGGTGTTTGCTAATGCTATACTGGTCATCTCATGGCAACATAAATGTATTAAATCAACATGCTATATATCTTAAACTTGCACAGTGACTTATGTCTCAACATTTTTTTTTTAAAAGACAACTTTCATGCCAACCACCCCTACCTGCTCCAACTTCTGCTGCCGTTTTAATAGTTCTATTTCCAAGTCAGATTTCTTCTTCTGTGCTTCTTCTTCTTTCTGCTTTATTACTTGATCTCGTTTTCTCTTTTCCATCACCTTCTGCAGTTCTGGCTTATTCTGAGGGGCCAGACCCCTGCAAAAAAACAAAAACAAAAATAAATTAATCTAATGGACACATTCCTCATGAATGGAAATTTAAAGCATCAGCCACAGAAGTTTAAAGCATCAGCCACTGGATTAGCAGGACTGTGATGCTGCCAACCATTACTGGTCAACAGGTGGTCTCAGAAATTCACAAACGTAAGTGAAAAAGCAAAAGCTACTTCTGAGAGTCAGCAAAATCCATTCATTCAAGATATAAAATATAGTGAGACCCTACTGTGTGCCAAATTATGCAAAAGAGGTAAGTAAGGGCAGGAGGGGTGGGAAAAGCTGGGAACACCATGGGTGTGGTGAGCACCCAAGATGGAGATAAAGATGCCCAGAATAGGTGATGCTTCCACCTGGAATTCAAGGGAAGTTTTCCAAGATCAAGTACTTGATCTCATGTATGTACAAAATGTAGTCTAGAGAAAGGTTAGCACAGAGATTTAAACAGCCAAATGCCCCTGGAATCATCTTTAAAGATTTTAGATTTGGAAGAGGGTTCTTGTATATCCAGAGACAAATCCAAGCTTTCGTCATTACCAGATGCATGATCACAGGGAAATCTGATCCCAACACCCAAACCAGTGCTGCTAAGCTAAACCATTTCACAGGTGCAATTACTATAGACAATGCACAAAGTTAGGGGCCAGACAAGTTCTACATTCCTGAGAAATAAATTCAGATGCCCTCGTCAAGTGGGAATAAACAAAACCAAAGGGCGGTCTCCATCTACAATGTCTAAAGCCAGTCAAGGGATGTATATTCATTAGCTTCTCCTCAGATGATATCTCTTCAGCCTTAGCTATTAGCTAGGACTCTCATCTCCACTTCCTCTGTCACCCCCCCTTTAGACACACCATGTTTTCCAAAGCACCAGCTTAGATGCTTACCTTCCTGCTCATTCTCTTACTTCTTTGTTTACTTCAGCCAGCCTGCATTCACCTTTAAGTAATCCCAATTTAATTTTAAAATTTGCAATAAGCATTTAAAGTAAAAATGAACCAAAGCAGGTATTACCTGAAATACCAATTTCAGGCAGCACAGGGTGTGTGTGATGGTTGATATTCACACTTCCACATGCACACGCACCTACACACCCGAGTAACTGGCAACTCAAGCTTTCTGGGTCGGCCGGAGTGGGACTGAGTACTGCAGAGCCAACCCAAGCACGAGGTGGGCCGGTGCATCTTCCCTGAACTCTCTGCTCTTGCTGTCTGGAAGTCAGGGCTTCCAATTAATAATAAATCACTGGAGTAATTGTCAAATCAAATAATTTCCAAATTGTGTGCTCTGGGTATATGAATCTCAACACACTGGCTTCAATATATGCCAAGTCCATACTATCACATCTAAAAACTGTTCAATTCCACACTTATTTATATAGCTATAATTTTTGTAAGTTCTGGGACCTCTCCTATCTACAGGTTTTAAATAATAATAAATAAGCTTTCAAATTTGCTGTTTACAGAGTACAAATAAGTACATTCCATCAGTGAAGATGAATGACCCATAGCAAAACAACATATGTCTCTATTTCCCAAATTTTCAGTAGCAGAACTTTCAGGAAGAAAGGAAATATTGGCCCTCCCTGGTGGCGCAGTGGGTTGAAGCACAGCACTAAGAAGCTAAAGCCACTTCAACATGAGTTCGATCCCCGCCTGCCCAGAAGTGACCACATGGTGCGGTAGACCTCTCCTGACCCACCCGCTGCTCCCCTCAGCAGTATACTTCATTGATCTGCCTGTTCTGCTCCCCACTCTGTCTCTGGTGAATCTTCTCACCCTCTGCATTTCTGGCTTGTACCCCAGTTCTGTATGAATAAATAAGTCTTTAAAAAAAAAAATGAAATACTGAATTTCATCAAATTTCCAAGTGAAACAAAGCAAACAAGTTACCTAGTGATTGTTTTTTTTGTTTTTTTTTATGTTTTGTTTCAGTTTTTAAGTGCATTTCAATGGGACAGAAACATATACAGATAATTCTGAAAGTTAAATTTTCAATTGACACAATAGAAGTAGCTTTGTTTACAATTAAAGGTGCCATTTGCTACAGGAAAACTGATAAGTTATCTGAGTAAAGACCCATTAAATTCCTTGACTATTAAAAAGACTCAGTATGACACAGACAAAATTAGGGATTTGCATTTCATTATTAAGAATTTAGCTAACTGCATAAATCAAATTTCAAACCTTTTCTTTCCCTATATTTCAATGACAAAAATAATTTCCACTGTTATTAAATTCTCCTGGATTATGCAGAAGCTACTGAACAAATGCGAATATGACACAGTAAGCTGACATTCTATTGCAACATATGAATGGGCTTACCTCATATAGAACATTCAGTTTCTGTCCAAAGATTTTACATAATGGTAACAGTAAGATAAAATATTTAGTAACATAAAACTCAGGAAAATGGTGATTATATGACAAATGTTCTGTACTTACAGTAGTCAAGAAGTCATACAAATTTAGTTAATGTTTTATCAGAGCAGATCACTTAACTTCCTGTGTAATGGAAAAAGTCAAGCACTGCCTATTTGATTCTTTGAATCTAAAACTGGATTGAGTCTAAAGGTGCAGAGACTAGGACCACCGGGAATGAGCTTCTCCTAATTTCTTCATGACAACAGCGAGCTCTCTTTGAGCAATTCTGATACAAGCAATTAACAAGACTTTCAACCCTTCATGACTGAGGGGTGACCCAGTCCTGAAGCTTTTTGCCACTCAAGATCAACAGAGATTCCTGGGTCTACTTGCTGTAACTACTATAATGGGTCAGCCAATAATTTAAATCATAAAATTAATAAGTGATTATTGAAAAAAAAATAATAAGTGGGTTATTAGTACTTGTAAATTTTTTTTATTACAAAAGTTTATTTTTACATCATTTTGTACATTTTTTTTTTCCATCTCAATTGTAATCCCCGCGGGTTTCCCATCACCAAGTCACCCGCATGCCATCACCATAATCCCGTGCAACTTGTAAATTTGTAAAGTAAAAAATGAAAGCGCATCTAAGCCCTCTCTGATAAACAAATCATGGGAGTACCACATCAGTTGTATCTGTGTATTTCGGGTGGCACTGAAAATAGGACAAGATAGAGGCCCTGCTCCCAAGGCCTCTTCCAGCCCTGCACTTAGAGAAAGCTGACAGGATGGTCTGTGCTCTTCCTGACATTCAAAACTGAATGTCAGGAATGCAATCTCATTCTTCCTCACATCTGCACAAACCATGGCAACAGAGTGCCACTCACTCCCCCCCCCCCCACAGCCACAGGTAATTTCCAGTATGTTCCCTCTACAAAGCCAGGAGGCAGTGTATTTCCTTGTACATTTACATCTGCACTCTCGCAGGACCATTTCTGTTGGTCCGAGGCATAAGAATGGAGTGGCTGGCTAAGCATGGGCATATTTTATATTTTGATGTGCACTGACAAACTCCCCTCCAAAAAGGCTGTAAGAGTTTATAGCCACCAGCGTTGAAATGTGCAGACAACTTTAAAGGTAGGTTTCGCATTTTAAAACATAAACCACTGAAGGTATTCAGAGGCCAAGAGGAAGGATCTACATTCACTCCAACTGAAGTCAAAATTCCAGGTGCATGTAAGCCCTTAAAAGTCAAGTTGCCTGCTCACCTAGGAAAGTAAGAAGCCAGTGGCTAGGGCTCCCTCAAGCCCTAATGGGACCTGCTTCCCTGCCCACTTGACCAAATACCTCCTGATCAAACATTTTTTTCCTTAGGGTTGAAGGGGGAAGGCTGCATTTGACTTCGGTAACTTTTTTATTTTTTTTAAACCTTAGATCTGGTTTAATACACTTTCCACTTTTCCGGTTGAGCCATTTCTGATCTCCTGAATTCAAATACAAATTTGTCTATCTTAACATCCTATAACATGCAAAAACAAAATCAACTAAAAACACAGAAAACTAGAAACCAGTGACTGAAATGTACAAGCCAACGAACAATGTTTGGGATGTGTTTATTAAATAGCTGAGTGCTCTATACTTGTACCAAAAGTTTTCTACTTAAAGAAAACAATCTTCAGGGCCCTCCCTGGTGGCACAGCGGGTTAAAGCACAGCACTAAGAAGCTAAAGCCACTTCTGCATGAGTTCAATCCCCACCTGCCCCGGAAAAATTGGTGCGGCAGACCTCTCCTGACCCGCACGCTGCTCCCCTCAGCAGTGGACTTTGTTGATCTGCCTGCTCTGCTCCCTGCTCTGTCTCTGGTGAATCCTCTCACCCTCCACATCTCTGGCCTGTACCCCAGTTCTGTATGAATGAATAAATAAAATCTTTTAAAAGAAAACAATCTTCATAGGTTATATTGTAAATATCAATTTTTTTCAGACCTCTTCTCTGTTCTTTCTATTACAAAAAATGCCATCTGAAATCTGCCTTTTCATGCCATTGGGGATACCCATAGAACCTAAGAACCTGCCAGAGGGTCTTAATAATCAGATCTAGTGGCCAACTTTGACCAGGGAAAAATTTAAAGATTTTAATGTGAAACTTATTGCTGGGTCCAAAAAACTGATAGAACATAAAGAGTGCAGGTTCTTGAAAGACTGTAGGTTTCAGAGCTCAAATACTCGCTCCCCAGCAGTTTGTTTTGTGTTGATTTCATTTCTCTCTTCTTCTCATTCTCAAGAAAGAACACTGGAAAAAGATTCAGGTACGTAGATATAACATTTTGCTATTGAGTTTTCTCTCATTCATGTCAAAATGAGGTGATCCCAACAGACACTGGGTTAGTGAAAAGATCACTGGGTGAGATAAAATAAAGGACCTTTACAAATTATTGGAAAGTAAACATTTTCATTTCAGTATAAACCAACAATCAAGTATGATTATAGTTTAAACATACATATTACTGATGTGATACTACTATTTGGCACTAGAATTTGGAAATTAAAACCTCAAGTTCTCTAAAAAGTAATGAGACAGAAAGAGAAAAATGTGTGTGTGGGGGGGGGTGAGATAAGAAAGGGAAGCTTCATGGTAAAACCTGTTGTATTTCTAGTAAGAGGAACTTACCAAAGATTTTGCCATGAAAACTCTATAAAGTAATTAGATTTTGAAACTTTGCCTTTTCTTCCTTTAAAAAAAAATATACTTTGGCCCTCCCTGGTGGTGCAGTGGGTTAAAGCACAGCACTAAGAAGCTAAAGCCACTTCCACATGAGTTCGATTCCCACCTGCCCTGGAGGTGACCACATGGCGAGGCAGACCTCTCCTGACCTGCCCGCTGCTCCCCTCAGCACTGTACTTCGTCAATCTGCCTATTCTGCTCCCCACTCTGTCTCTTGTGAAGCCTCTCGCCACCCCTGAGCCTCTGGCCTGTACCCCAGTTCTGTATGCACAAATAAATAAATCTTAAAATACATATATATTCTTCCACCCTTATCTCTCTGACTCTGGAACCCCTCATCCTTCCTACTGACTCATGCCAGAGTGTGAGCATCTCCCAAGTGAGCTAAGGAGGCAACTGTGTAAACAAGGAAAAGGAAACAGGGGCCAGAGAAAGACCAATAGGGATCCATTTTCACAGAATATTCCTTTTATAGGAAATCTGAAAACTGAGTCCATTGCGTCAATCTATATTTTACAGAGTTTTGCAGAATAATTGATTAACCTATAATTCAGAGAATACTTAGCCTACCAATTTGGGTTTTGCTTTGCCCCTTCTCTGACTTAGAGGTTTTTCAAAGATATAATTTTTTTTTTAAGTTTGAGCTATAATGTTCCTTAACAATCAATTAAGCCCCCTACTCCCATTTTGCAGTTAAAAGAATTAAGGTCCAAAGACAATCAGAAAAAGATAACCAGGAAACCATTTAGTGTAGAGACAAAATGGAAAACCATTTATAGTGGAACTGCTACTCTCGTTTGGTATATCAAATATTATATCTCTCCATTGCATGCAGATAAGGGTTGTCCAGGTAGGAGCACCTCCAAATTCTACTGCCTATGCAGCAGCCAATATAGTTTCCTGATTCGCATAATATGACCAAATCCACATAGTTTTCTTTTTCCCTCTTTGTTTGACAAAAATATAAGTACTTATATTTTAAAAGGCTCAAATTTGCATTCAATTTAATAAGCATTAAGCCACAATAATAGAATGTATGCTGGGTATTAAAGGGAGTAGTCACCCCCATGATGTGGAGCCAGAGATATATTTACAAAGATTCCTGGAGTGGGATTATGAGTTCTGGCAGGAGTATACTCAAGAGAAGAACTACTATAAAAATGCCTCCTCCACCCCTCATATATATATATATTTAAATAAATAGTGAGGCCTTCCCTCAAAGATTGACCCTAATACTTAACTTGGTCTACATTCTTTCAGATTAATAGGTTTAGCAAAGAATGGGAGGGTGAAGGATCTGTAGTCCCGCAGCAGTTCAGTTTAAATGTTTCATTTGGACCATCTGAAAATAGTTCCAAACAAAGTTTAAAAGACTTTAAATAAAGTTAACACATGGTCTAATAGAGTACCTTTGTACCCTCAGCTTTCTAGGTCAACTGGTCTGACCAGTCCAACATCCAAAACTGTGCTAACAAAAGACAGAAGGCAAATGTTTTCTTCCCTTCAAAAGTAATCAGTAATAAACATAATAGTGGTTTTAAATGCCACTTAAAAACAGATACACAAAAAAGAAGGTTCTTACTGTTAAGTCTGATGTAATCCAAATGTTTTCTTTGCTACTCACAAATGCTAACATGGGGCCCTCCCTGGTGGCACAACGGGTTAAAGCACAGCACTAAGAAGCTAAAGCCACTTCAGCATTGAGTTCGACCCCCAGCCCCAGAGGTGACCCACATGGCACGTCAGACCTCTCCTGACCCACCCACTGCTCCTCTCAGCAGTGTACTTTGTCAGTCCGTCTGTTCTGCTCCCCACTCTGTCTCTGGTGAATCCTCTCACTGCCCCTGGACTTCTGGCCTGTACCCCAGTTCTGTATGCATAAATAAATCTTTTTTTGAAAAAATGCTAACACGAGCAAAATATATATCTGATCCCACAGTCCCTAAACATAAAAAGGAAAATAGAGAAATTTTACAAATCTAGGAAAAAATGTATTTCTTTTCTGCTTATAAATTTCTTTTATCCTTAATCTAGCCCCTCCCATCCAAACCCTATAACATATGTCCATTTGAGAAGGGACAGGGAGCTGTAAGCTTTGAACAACATTGGGGGGCAGCTACACCTGCAGATCTTTCTTTCATGGTGGGTTATCCTGGCTCAGGGATGCCAGAAGGAATCAGGAAGGCTGAAATATGGTCAAGAAATGAAAAAGACTTTGAAGTCCTTGTAAACATAATTAAAATGAAATCTATCAATAGTTACCTTAAAAGTTCCCAAGGAAAACTCTACTCAAGGAAGCAACTTACCTTTTTTGATTCATAAGAAGTTCTCTGTGAAGGTCTTGATGGTTCCGTGATGTTTTGACAGGATTGACTAGTTTCTGGGGCTTAATTAGCTCAGGATTGTCATCTTCTATATAGTCTGGCTCAGCCATGATGCTTCTTGGGATGAGATATGTGTCCTTAAGACCAATCTCCTCTGTGCTTCCTGAAATAGAAAGATGAGACTTGTTTGTGGTCTTTGCAGCTTCAGGAGAACTTGCTGGCCCAGCAGCTGGGACTTGTCACCCTCCTTGATCCATCTTACTGCTTCATGGAAAACTCTCAGTCTGATGCTTTGTGAAAGTCACTAGGGGAGTGAAGGAGCAAGAATGGCCATGTTGCTCTGTGCTGCCTTGACTAAACCAAAGGCATCTCCAAACCAAACTCAGTTTTGAGTTTCAGGTCACACAGGACATTTCCTACCATGTCCAGAAACTAGCTGAACCCACTTGGACATCGCTTCCTTCAACCTTCATAGGCACTCAGTGGGTACTGCAACCACCAGGCTGCATCAGCGAGAGGCTTGCAGAGCATAGAGGCAGGTGAGGGCTCCGCCCCATATGAAACGCTCTGGGGTCTTTGTCTTGTTCACAGCCTCAAGTCTTTCTTCAAAAGCACCTCGTCAGAGGTCAGCCTTTCTGATGACCCCACATTCTCCTGCAATTCCCACCCCCATAACAAAACACACACACACACACACACACACAAACACACACCGAGGTTCATCCAGGAGGTATTTGATTGCTATCGACACCTATGCACGTCCGTGGTGCTGACCAGGTCCCTGCTTCCCTACCCACAAAGTAAACCTGGCAATTATTTTAAGTTACTTAATGTGTTATTTTATGCTTTCCTACCCCTAAATGATGACCCTATTTTCCAAACCAAAAATCATGTGAAGGTCCTTACTAAGCAGAGTATTTGACACTGAGCCTTCCCTACAAAGTCCAGAGTACATGTTGTTAATACCTATGTGGTCTATGCCTATTGATAGACTAGAAATGTACAAATGGGTATGGGTGGAGAGAGAGCCAATCAGAGCACACCTAGTGCTGCTGCCTCTCCCCACCTTTCCAAGGAAGTGGAGAGGTCAGTCACCTGTCCCAGCCCCTCAGTGCCCCACAGTACTGTCGACGTACAGTCACAACGGCCTTGCAGGGTAACCTCTACTTTCTGTCTATTTATTCTCTGCAAAAGCTAGAACCACTTCTTTTCTAGTTTTAACTCCCAGGTCTCGTAAAGTGACTGGTCCATAGCAGAAGCCGAATGTTTAACCAAATCAAACTGTACTATACAGAAAACTGGAAAGTTGTTTCAGGAATGAGCTCCTCAATGGAAGACAGGCTCCATCTTTATTTCTGCCCATGCGCCATCTCCTGAGCATGCATCTCAATGGGCATGTGCCTGTGTTTACACACGAGCAGGGCTGAGGGATGAGCATAGGGTCCTGAAAGAAGGTTTGAGAGGTGAACACTGGAAAAGAATCAAGATGTATCTGGACTTAAAATTAAAAAAAAAAAAAACAGAAAACCAAAAGCAAGTCCAGTGGAGTAAATAAGAGCAAGTGTTTGCTTCCAGAGTCATCTGTGATCTATTCCTAAAGGCCCAGCACACGCATATGTGTTAATGCTAACATGTCCACAATGGCCTACAACCATCAGGGCTGTAGGCCCAGTGCTGCAGGTACCTGAGCACCTCAAATCCCAGCAGCATCCCTATGAACTTTACAGACAATAAAATGGAGGCAAAAAATAAAATAAAATAACCATTTACACTGAAATTGCTAGTAGTATAATGCTGAAACTAAAATGAATGCTCTCTTCTGATCTCAAAACCCATAATGCTGCCTACACCAAATAATGCCAACATTTTATAGCAAAATCTTTTGGAAGTTAATCTAAAAGTAAAGAGGATTAAAAATCAATGACTACATCAATAAAACCATACATTATTAAGTTGTTTATGTATTTTAGGTATAACTGCATGATTAAGGCTCAAAATTACCAAATGACTACATACATAACTATACCAAACATTCCTTAAATATAACATACATATATGTAACTCCTACCTATATTGATCTTTTAAATAAAAATGCCTGTAATCTCCCCCAAATAGAGAATTACCAACCTCGTACAAGGTGAGCCAGGGAACCCATGATGGCCATCAGACTTGTGCTACAGCTACCCGTTGGTCCAAACTGTACATGCACCGTGTGTACAGCTGTGTCTGTCTTTAAAAGTTAATCAGTAGACAAGAAGCTGACATGCTACCATAAAAGGATATTTCTTTGCCCTAAGCCATGGCCATTCCCATGGCACCTAATCAAAACAGATTACCACCTCTTAAGGTCAATATTAAGTTAGGGAGGGTGGGTCTAGAGGATAGGTAGGAGAAGAAAATGCCAGATATAGAGTGCAAGCTATGCCAAGTCCCTAAGGCAGAAGTTGTGGATGTTCACATGGAACAGCAAATAGGTATTATGGGTACAGGGGAGTGACGGGCAGTGAAGACAGAGAGGAGAGGTGCAGAGGCCAGGCAAGTGGGGAACTTGAAGGTCATTGTAAGAATTTTGGGGGGCAAAGGGAAATCAATCAGGGTTTTAGAAAAGAAGAGATAAGATAGGATTCAAGTTTTTGAAAGATCACTTTAGCTACTATGAGATAATAAGGAAAATACAGAGAGAAGGTGTATACATATACATACATACGTACACTGGTCTCTATCCCCAGTTCCTGACACTGAACTCCCCAATCCTTTTAACTAGAACTGAGTTTTATTCTAATAAGGTGGCTCTGAGTGGGCTCCTGGGTCAGGGGGCTGGTCACCAGCAAAACCAAGTCATGATTAGAAACTTGAAACTTTAGTTTAGTCCTACATCTTCCAGAGAGGAAAGGGGGCTGGAGATAGAGTTAATAATTAACCTGCCTATAAGGGGAAGCCATCACAAACCAAGTAATGTGGGGTCCCAGGAGTATTCACACCCCCATATGGGGAGGGTGATTCACCTCACTATGAGGAGGCAGGAGCACCTGTACCTGCGACCCTACCAGACCTTGTCCTCTGTATCTCTTTATCTGGTTGCTCATCTGCACTTTTAATCATATCCCTTAATAAACTGGTAATCCTAAATGCTCCCATGAATTCTTGGAACCTCTCCAGCAAATGAATTAAAGCCTAGGAGGGGCTGAAAGAGTCTCTGGATCTATAGGCAGTTTGTCAGAGGCACAGGTGACAACCTGGACTTTCGATTGGCATCAGCAGTGTGTGGGTGTATACAGGGAGGAAGTCTGTGGGGCTGAGCCCTTATCTCCAGATAGACAGGGACAGCGCTGAGTCAACAGAACATTGAGCTGGTGTGTTAGAGCCTGGTGAGAGAAAAATCACCCATTTGGGAACCAGAAGTGTCAGAAGTGAAAGTGTCCTTTGTGAAGATACAAGCAAACAGAAGGCAGAAATGTTCCCTACAGTGGAAAAGAAAAAATAATCTGAAGTTTTTCCTTTGTGGCCACCGAGTGTAGAACAGGTTGATGGTGGCAGGAAAGACTTAGTGTCCCAGTCATCCAGATGAGAGATGGTTGTGACCAGATGACAGCAGCACAAGGGGAAGGACAGATGGCTCAGGATATATTTCGAAGGTAAAGCCTCTAGATTTCCTGAAGGACTGAACATGGGGTGTGAAAGGCCCAGAGGATCCTCGCACAACACCCATGTTTCTGGCTGGAGCACCAGGACGCCAAGCTTGTTACAATAGGGAGCAGAGCAGGCCACACACAGAGCAGGAGCTCTGCTGCAATCTCTGAGTCTCCTGAACTCAAGGCTGTGCTGATGGCAAGTGGAGGATCTGGTATTTGGGTTGCAGCTACTTTTTAGTGACTGTCCATCTGGAGCCATGGCCAATACGTGGCAATAAACATCCAAGTGACCTATTCAACTTCCGTCCCTCTGCCAGTGCTCTGTCTCATTACTAGCAATGCTGGAAAGGAAAATGACATTCTGAGCATTAGGGAACTCTTCCATCCCACAGACTTGTCTGTTGCTTACTTATCACCACACTCCCTTGCCCATAGCAGCAATGCTGATCCTCCTCCAACCCCTTCCAAACTGTCACAAAGCCAAGTCTACTCATCCCTTCCTATGAGATAAATGTCAAATCTCCTAAGGAGGGTTCCCTAATTCCTCAGAATGGTAATTAAATTCATTGACCTCTGAACAACTGCCGGATTTTCCTTGTTCCCCTTTTCTACTAAATAAAAACCATGGGTCAGCACTAAATTAAAACAGGTTACTGCCTCCTATATTCAGCCCAAGTAGCTAACTTGCATTCCAGTACCACATATATACATCTTATCTCTTCTGCAAAAACCGTATCTGGGGCCCTCCCCAGGGGGTTAATGCACAGCACTAAGAAGCTAAAGCCATTTCAGCATGAGTTCGATCCCTGCCTACCCTGGAGGTGACCATATGGTGCAGCAGACCTCTCCTGACCTGCCTGCTGCTCCCCTCAACAGTGTATTCCGTCAGTCAGCCTGTTCTGCTCCCTGTTCTATCTCTGATGAATCCTCTCACTGCCACTGCACCTCTGACCTGTACCCCCGTTCTATATGAATAATTAAAATATTTAATAAAACAAACAAACAAAGAAACAAAAAACCACATCTGGTTGATATGCACATTCCTCTGACCTCTTGGATTGGATCAACAAATACACTTCAAGGAAGAAGTGATGTGTGGTTTACTACCTGTAGAGGGAGCCCCTAAACTACTTGGCATAGACAACAAGGAAGTAAAGTGGAGCTAAGAGGCCTCTCTGGCATGAAGTAATCCAAAAACCTGACAAAAAAAGGTGAGATAGAAACGTCTGGGTGTATATAGAGGCACTTCATGAAGGGATATTACACAAGAAATGTTCTTCCAGAAATAAATATGTAGACATTCTTGTCATGTTTACTCCCCTAAGCAACTAATTGATTGCTAAAGTAATTTTTCTAAAGTATCAATTTCATGAAGGAAACTAGTAAAAGTTCAGTATAGGAGAAATAAAACTAGTTTGAGTTCTTGAACAAAGCTCAACTTCCCTGACCCTCTTCTCTCCCATTAAAATGAATGGAGCTGATAGAAATGTGGATGTTAAGTACTTTGCATAATTCCTGGCCTGTCTATGAG